GCACTCGACACCCACGCCGGTCGGTACATGGCATAACATTGTACAGTAGGACATCCTACATACTAGCAGACAACTCAACTGGCAATGCAGCGGTACCGTACGACACCCAGTGATACTGCTCTCTCTCTCTCTATGTCATGGTCCCATCTTGCGCTTGAGTTTTGGACACGCATACCACCTCGAACTGCTCCGTACACCAAAAACCGCTCAATGCACAAGTTAGGGGAGTCGGCGCTCCAAATATTCGGAGTGGGGGAAATCCGTTCCCGAGTATTTTGGCCGGATGGGTGGGTTCGTGATGCTTCTCTCACCCTCTCTCAGGTGGTTCAGCCAATAGCGGTACGGGCCCCTATCGCTACCCCGCCGGCCAACCAACAAATAAACTCACTTATTCGAGTGATAGATTATGATCAGATACCAGCACCATAACCGAATAGCCCCTTTTAAGCCTAATTACTGTACCACCCAAGGCCGCTTCCAGCCCCCCCCCTCTCTACATCCAGAAATGAAGTGGTCCAACCCTAGCTCTCCCTAATCGGAAGGAGACTAGGAACGGACTTGACCGCTTGTGTATCATACTGTGCTTGTACCAGCGTTGGTTCTGTACGATACGAGTCAAGCGCAGTACGGATACCGTAACGGTCACCGCAAACCTTACCAACCCACCCACGGTATCCCTACTACTCGAGAATCACGCGATGCAGGAACAGAATGTGCGGTATCCGTTCACCGTACTCGTATGATACCGTACTCGTACGGTACTGTACCTGTACCTGTACAGTTTGTTCTTAAAACCCTTGTTCCACCATAATAATATCATCCACCTTACCCGACCGCCCATCCAAAGCATCCGACGTGTCCTTCCCGTCCAGAACCCTGGACAGGTATGATACCGGCAGTGCATACTCTACCGGTACTCTTCCTCCACAAGGCTACTCTGCATAACAGGCACACTCGGCCTTCTCCCCAACCACATCGCGGCCGCACACAGCACCGCGGGGCAGCGCAGCGACTAACAATACATCCGGCTACGCGGTCCTTCCCCATAGCATACGTATAAAAACACTCACCAATGCCGTGCGTTCCGTGTCCATGACAGCCCTCGTGGGAGTGGGTGACAACGGTATTGTTTGCACAAGTGGCCCCGCAGCTTGCACGCTGAATTTCTCGAGGCGCGATTGCGTAGCATGGTACCGCGGGGTACCGTAGTGGAGGGTTCGGTCCTGGAGGGGAGGGGGCGGATTGCAGATACAGTACTTGTATAATACAGTGAGGGTGTGGAGACCGCAGCACCGGTAGACTTTCTGTATGACCCAAATCAGGCCACTCCCCCATCTCTCACTCCACTAATGACTGGCTACCACCAGCACACACAACAAACTGACATTGTGAAACTATTGGCGAAATACATCGTGAATGCGCACCCCGCCCACCGTTGCTCTCCTGTACAGGCACAGTACGAGTACCTGCGCCAGATAAACCGAGATCCAACCTGGCCTGAGGAAACGCGCTTACCCTGGCCCAACCAACCCAATCACCAAATTCCCATTCCCCCACCTCCAACCTCAATCACTTATCGATAGCTCGCTTAGCGCTCACGAAAGCCAGCCATTGGACGAAGTCCTGGAGCAGTTAATTTCCATGCTGGGCTAGGGAAATTGCGGCTGAGGCTCCGGGGTGAACGAAAGGGATCTGAAGTTCGTCATCTTTCTTCATCGTCGTTGTTGGTGTTTATTTGCGCCTGTGAATAGGCTTTGTTTCGATCTCGCCCGCCAGCGCATGACCGGTAACTACTCGAGATGGACCCCTTCGTCTGCACAAGTACTAGTGCTCGTGCAGTACGGTACGGTATACAGTAGGCAGAACCGCGGTCGAGACAGTCTCAAAGCAAATTCCGCGCAGATCCTCGGGGTCAAAACGTTTATTTCCCGGGTCACCGACAGAAGACCTCCGCCATACCCCTTCAGGCCAAGTACTGGTATGGCACTCGAGCACAGCGTTCCTCCAGCCTGCGAACTAAAATTCCGTGAAATTCGGAATACGAACGAAGGGATGACGCCCTCGGATCCATCCAATGAACAGCCCCCAACCCAATCACAATACGGCACCCCGCAAATTAATGCTGTGCCTAGCGTTCGCGAGCAGCTACGGTACCGTACTTGCACGAGCACCGGTACCGTACCGTAGCTCATGACGCCCTGCGGAAAGTGCCCAAGTAATGGGTCCCTGCCCGGACGATAACGATATATCATCCTGACGCTTACCGTGCGATACAAAGCGTCATCCAGCAAGCGAGCGAGCAAATCGACCAGACTCCACACAGACTCACCCATCCGTCCGTCCAACTGCGGTACGGTAGACTATCGTATTCATCAAGGTTGGCACCAACCCCCCAATCCCAACCTCTCTCTACATACAAGGGTAAACAGCTCATCACATCACGACCCTAGATAGGGCGCTTACCTTACCCGGTATCACAATAACAAATTTCCACATTGCCAAGTAGTTTTTTTTTTTCCCCCTCAGTCTTCCACCGGTACCGGTTTTGCCCTCGAACGGCTTTTTTCAACTGAGCTTCCTCACAGCCCCTGGAAATGGCCGTGCTTGGCGGACGCCACATGGCATTTCACAAAGCACAAGCACTCGAGTATCCGGATGCCTTGGCGCCAAGATTCGCATATTAAGGTCAAATTTGGTAAGCTCTCGGGGCCAAGGCATCCAATTACTTTATGAAGTGTGCCAGATTATGCTGTGGAACCATGCAGGAGGCCTTTGAAATGGCCGATATTACTCGTACCGTACCATTATTTTCCTTCTTTTTCCCCCTTTTCCATTTCTTCGCGGTCGGAGAGTGTGAAGGCCAATATTTTTTACACTACCGGTATTACTCGTACCATTCGCAAAAGTTCTTCACTTACCGGTACCGGTACCGCCCCTTAGTGCGTCGGGTATTGTATGGTACTGGTACTGCGCCCGTGAGATCTGGTTATATAAGAAAACTACGAGGTCTGAAAAGTGTCCTTCCTTAGCTGGAAATAGATTGTTGGGGGTTCAGGCAGAGACCTTTTACACAGATCTCTTGGGCGCACTTACGGGCTAAGGGATACCGGTACTTGTAGACGTGCTGGCATGGTGAGATGCTCTGGCTGCTGGGCGAGGGCTTATGATACGAGCGGAGTACGGTACGGGTACCCGACTCGCAGCAGCACAGCACCTCTGCCGGTCTGCAACGAGTGACTGCCCGCCAAAAAAAAGTAGAAAAGAAGCCGATTGTAGTTCCATTGTGGTTTATTACCAGTTGTGGGGATTGATCTTTTGGGCTTTGGATGCTCTTTCTGTTTGCCCGTCCGTCTGGTATGGGAAGAGGGAGACTATTTATCATGATCTAAGGTGCCGGGGTCCGACGGCGAGAGCGACAAGACAACACAATTACCGGTATGATACGAGTACCAGGCAGGTCGCGGAACAGTTTTCATCCAGCTCCGGACCCGAATGAAGAAAAAAATGGTGTTCTGAGGAAGGGACCGGGGACCGGGGCCTTTGTGCAAATTGGTGGATATGGGCGCGGGTGGGGTCAGTTATGCGGTTTAGTGTGCGGGCAAGTTGGATGGGACGGGAGGGGAGTCGGTGATAGATGCATATGTAGCGCAGTGGGGAGAGACCTTGATCTAAGGGCGAAGGGATGCGCTGCAGTTATGGGGAAAAAGGAGGATAGGAAGAAGTTTTTATGCGGTACAGCTCGATTTCTGTGGGCCTCTTTTTTTCCCTTGTCCTTGTTTCCTGTTGTCGAGGTGGGGACAGCGAGTGTGGATGAGAATTCACGTCGCACAGCTGGAATTTACATCACCCACACCGCAAAAACCCAAAAGGTACGATGCCTGCACAAACGATCTGGTGCCGAACCTTGGGCGGCAATTGGTTCGAGGGGGCGAATGTTGTTCGGTACCTTGCAGATTCGGTTCGTTGGAAATGTCTTAGCCTGAGTAAACGGAACACACCCATCTGACCCGGACAGAACCAGAGTTCCCCTTTTGGGAGATTCATTGGGGCGGCTCATTTCCTCTGCGAGACCAACCTGGTTCTCGTCTCCCAAATTCTGTAAATTGATCACAATTCATCTCTCTCTCTTCTTTTTTTTTTTTTTTTTTTGCCATATGGCCCGTTGTGTGTAGCTTTCTGTGTCAGGATGTGCTGCGGTTTTTATTGGTTGGGTCCACCGGGAATTCCCCGACTTGGTTACCATTTTGTCTGGATGGATTAACAATTTTTTCACCGGGTACTCGAGTACCAAGTTTTGGCAAGTCTGTGGAATTTTTTGTTTATACGAGTGCAATTGGACTTGACCCTCAGCCGGCAGAGTTTTCTTTTTCCTTTTCCCTTTTCAATCACATTTCGCTCTGTCGAGGCTGTGTGCGCGCGCGGAAATCCACAGACATCTTACAAGCCGCCCTCTGTGAAATTACTGCTGGAGTGGTACAGTACGAGTACTGTGTGATATTCCCCGTGTACTCGAGTGCTCCTCCATATTTTCCCAATTGTATTACTATAAAGAGGAAAAGGGAGGAGAACTGTTCAGGCTTGATTCTCATCGTAGGAACGAAATGGCCTTTCGAGTCCGCCTCCCACGTCAATCAGTCCCTTGGAGGGTGAAGGAGTAGAGCCCAACTAGCTACTCGAGTACAGGTTCTTTGGGAAGTTATCCAAGTATCATATCATGGGGGCGATATTTTTGCACTAGGCAGGGATTATTCTGGGGTTTAACCTAAATCATCATTCGCTAGCCCTTTTGGGTATACTTCAACCAAGTGTGGAAATGGAAGATTGGCTTTTAACATGGATCACCACATTGCTTCCCTGATGGCACAGCATGTTGACCACCGCAACGCACCAACAGGAACCCCCTTTTTTGTGTCACGCCCACCTGCTGGCAAGAGGCGACTCTCCTTATTATCTCGCCTTTGCCTCGTCCCCCCCCCTCTTCCTTTCCTTCTCTCTCCTCCACACGCTCAAGCTCAACTTTTTCACGTTACAGGGCTTTGCGTATCTTCCAATTCCTCAAACCACCGCTTCACTCCTTTAGCGGGCATTCTTTTTTTACTCCAATCTCTGTCCCTATATATACAAAAAGTATCATTCCTCCATTTTTCTCGGAATCCTCCTTGCTGGAATTACTCGCGTGTTGTCGATCGACGATTAGGGAAATTATCTTTTTTCATATTCCGCTTCTCTCTCCAATATGAGGTATTCATGGGTTCTCCTCGGGGCTACTGCCCTGCTTTCCGGTTCGGTCTCTGCTCGGGGGCACCAGCACCGCCGTCATGCTCACCCAGCTGGTTTGTCTGCTTCCAACGGTCAGTGTGAGGTTGTTCCGCCTCAGTGCACAACCTACACCAGCTCAATTTTGGTTCCTGTCGGTGAGTACTTGCCCAATTCCTGTTTACTTGGGGTGTTGAAACTAATTTGATGTCGCAGGAACCGTACCGCCAGGTGACTCTTCGACCCTTAAGCATACCATGACCGTGGTCCCAGTTGTCGAGCCAACCACCACCCTGAAGACCACGCTTACAGCCACAGCCACGTCAACGAATGTGGTTACTGTCACCAAGCCCAAGTCCTCGAGCGTGGTTTCTGCTTCTGCTCCGCCTGTTCCTACCCCGGTAGTGACTGTGTGCCCGACGCCCGGCACTTATACCATCCCAGCCAAAACGGTTGTCATTACAAGCACTGAGACTGTTTGCGTTCCTGAGACTACCATGCTCCACCCTGGAATTCACACCATCGGAGGGGTTACCACCGTTGTCGACGTTGCTACTACTGTTGTCTGTCCGGTTGCTGCTGTTGAGACTGCTAGTGGTGTTACCACCAGCAAGGTCGTTATGACCAGCTATGTTTGCCCCACTCCTGGTACCTACGTTATTGGCGCTTCAACCACCACTGTGACTGGAACAGTTACCGTCCCTTGCACGTACCCGGTACCGACCGCATATCCTCCGGGAACCTACACTCATCCTGAGGTTGTTACCGTTGTCACTGTCACTAGCGCTCTTGTTGTTTGCCCATTCACTACTAGTGGACTCCCTACTTCGGCCCCGGCTGCTCCTACCACTGCTTCTCCGGCTGCGCCTACCACTGCTTCTCCGGCTGCACCTACCAGCGCTCCTCCGGCTGCCCCCACCACCACTCCTTCGGCTCCTGCTAGCACCGTCTCCGCCACGTCCGTCTCTCAATCTGCCAGTCCTTCGAGCTCCGCGTCTTCCCCCAAGCCGAGCTCTGGTGGTGATCTCTGGGCCATTACCTACTCCCCATACTCTGCTAATAGTGGCTGCAAGACTGCTTCTGAGGTCTCTTCTGACATTGCCAACATCGCTTCTAAGGGGTTTAAGAACATCCGTCTCTACTCCTCTGACTGTGATGGTCTCAAGAACGTTGGGTCTGCTTGCGAGGCTAACGGTCTTGGCATAATTCTCGGTGTCTTTATCAAGGCTGGGGGTGTCTCCACTGCTGATGAGCAGGTTAAGGATATCCTTGCATGGAAGAAGTTCAACTTGGTCGTTCTCTTCGTTGTGGGTAACGAGGCTGTCTTTAACGGATTCTGCTCGGCTGAGGAGTTGGCTGCCTATATCCTCAAAGTTAAGGGTCAGCTGCAGGGTGCTGGATACACTGGGCATGTCACCACAGCTGAAACTCTCAACATTCTCCAAGCTCACGGTAGTGTTATTTGCGCCGCTGTGGATGTTACCGGAGTCAACGCTCATGCCTTCTTCAACCCCGGTGTCACTGCCGACAAGGCGGGCGAGTTTACGAAGGGTCAACTCAAGCTTGCCATTGGTAAGATAGTGTTCATTCTGGATATCATGAGTAGTTGCTAACCAGTTTTCATTTTTTACAGAGGCCTGTGGTGGAAAGCCAGGATATGTTCTTGAGGCTGGATGGCCATCTGCAGGTCAGCCCAACGGAGCCGCTGTTCCCGGTGTCTCTGAGCAGAAGGTTGCCATCGCTTCCATGATCAAAGAGTGCCCTGGTCAGATCACTTACTTCTCTTATGAGAATGACAAGTGGAAGACGGCCGGTGCATTTGGTGTTGAACCCAACTTTGGTTGCTCTGGTCTTTTCTGAGTGGTTCCGCTCAAGTGAAAGGGTGTTACATGTACAACTCTAAACTTCTTTGATACAATAATTTACCTCCTTACTATTTACCTGTCTTTTTTCCTTTTTATACTTGCGCAGTGAGCGATCGTGGTTTTCGGGATTATATTGATGAATTTTCTTTATGGGTTTTATATACTTTTTTTTTTTTGACTTCTAAATTTCACGTTGTCTTGGAGATATCCTGCAGGGTTTTGCGGAGGAAGCGGTGTAGTGAGTGAGTGTAATTTGTATGAGTTGTCCGATGTAATGGTGCTCTCAAACGGGGTATATAATATTTGGAAGGGATGAATTCATTTGTTTCTAATCGTTTTGGCTAAGCTTTGACAGCCAACGGGTGCGAGTGACTAGGCGTGAAGTTCATTGTAGATTTAAGGTTAAGTTTTCTAACTTTGACTTGCTTGTTTCGCTGGCATCGTCTGTACCGTACAGTAAGGTCCCAGTACCCGTATGACGAGGCTAGTGTCCAAAAAGAAGAGGTGTAACTTCTCCTAGTGTGTCAGTATGTTCAAGAGATGGGCGGGATAGGGCCTCGGGTTGAAATTTTATCACAAGTTTGGAGGGGATACTTTCCGGATCTTGGTATTTCCCCGAGTAAATTTGAGAGCGTCTTGGGCGTGGCACAACGGGCCAGGGGATAAGAGCTTTTCAGCCGAAGGTGGCCATGTTTCACGACCCCACCCCCCCCAGGTACTGCACCTATCCAGCCAAGCAATCAGGGACTCGATCTTCCTCCATCCGTGAAAGCGATTCACCGCATTCCAATATCTGGCTCTTTGGAACCCCGCATCTGTCCAAGCCGGCCGTGGAGAGCAGTTGGTCGGCGCCGTACTGTATGTACTTGTGCCAGCGCTCTTGTGCCGCATTCGGTTACAGAAAAGTGTAATGTATGTACATTACGGAAATTTGGTAATTAGGGGTTAGGGTTATCGCCCCCTTCCTCCCCAGGCACCCCCCATAACTCTACAGTACCGGTACCGTACTCGTCCAGAAGCAAGAAGAATTGTACCAAAACCAAAACCAAAACGGGTAATAATTATGATATCGTACAACCCGGATAGTTCATTGGTTGAGGGGGGACGTCAGCGGTGACTTTTTCTATTTCTCGGGTTTATTATTTGCTGCTGTTAATTTATGGGAGTGGATGTGTCATAAATACTGTATCATATTGGACTGTGTGCTGCTAAAATTTACCGTATTCTGCTCGCTAACGGACCGACCGACCGACTAACCTTGGACAATGCACTCATATGGCGGGAGAGAAGGTGATTCACTGTAATGTGCGTATCCGAGTCTGTGACGGGATCAGAGCATACGGTACTCGAGTAGAAGCGGAATATTTTGCTCCCAGCGAGATGTGGGGGAGCTCTGCTTTGTCTTGTCTTGTCTTGTCCGTGCTTCCCTCCCCCATATTTTCGAAAAGTATGGTAATGCGCGATGGCCGGTCTGCGGTGTTTCCTTGACGTAAGCCTTGATACCTGGTTTCTCTCTCTCTCTCTCTATATATATATATATATATGCTAGTATATATGTATAAGAACACTGATGGGCGACGGGAAATGGAAGGGCGCGTTAAAGGTATTGTCTACTTAGCTTATAGGGGTGGGTTAAAGGGGAGAGAGGGGTACAGGACATAAAATGAGAAAGAAAAAAAAGGAAAATAAGAAAAAAAAAAGTAATGATGTGGTATGTGCTACGCTATTGTAGATTTCGGGATACTGTACCGTACTAATACTGTGCTTTTGGAATGGGCGGGCACCGCTGTCCTGGGAAAGGCTGGCTTATTCCTTCTTTGGCGTTGTCTTGGAATGTGGAGATTGGGAGGGTATAATATACAAGTTGCTGTAATGGGCGGGATATCGTATCATGTGATGTTAGTCTACAGTGGGTACGGTATGATATACTAGAGCACAGTATAGGTAGATACCCTGCTTGAGAAACGGCAGTGGCTACGACGAACGGCTGCTAATTATAGCATGAAGGAGGGAGAGAGAGAGAGAGAGAGAGTATTGTACCGGTATGATGCGGTGCTGTCGTACATCTGCTGAAATCCCCGTAAGCAGACTAGTCCTCCAGGGTTTTTTCTCGGCAGACCATGTAAGTCAGGCATTCTTCGATGGGTCACTTGCTAGCAACGGGGGGGGTTTGTCAGTTGTAAATGGCAAGAGTGATCACTAGGGGTCTAAGGGTCCCATTTACCCCCTTAAATAGTATAGCCTCTGCAATGGAGAGAATTCAAGGATCTGCGGAAAACAGTAATGCGTGGAAGGATGATGACTATCGATCAATGTGCACGTGGTGAGTAGGAATCTCTACGCAAGTTGAGACAACCCACAAGTGCTGTACCGTATGGTATAGGATAGTACTTATGCTAGTGGCGAGAGATCGGGTTTTTAGGACGCTCTCGGGTGCCGTGCGGAGTACCGATGGGACAAGGGAATGTATGGGGGTTTCCGAATTGCGCCGTGAGGTCACAGGGTCCGATCGACCATGTATTACATACGGTATATATATAATACCCACCCCCCCTTGTTTCCTGGGCGAAGTGAGCCTTTTCACGATATCAGATTCCGCTATTGTAAAGAAATATCATGGTCTTTTTTTTTTTTTTACTACCTTGGCTACATCCCACGGGCCACAAATTTGTGCGCTCCACCGGGTAGGTTTTTTGGGGAAAAAAAAAAAATAGAGTTTGGGGATAATTCATTGCGGTAGTCTTGTGAAAAGAGGCCCTCTATCAAAGGCTTCTCATGAACTTTTGCATTAACTTGCAGTATGTCATTTCATTAATATTTTCCTTTGGAAAAAAAAAAAAGAAGGAAAAAGGGCTAGAGTCCCCCTTTCTGCAGTGTGCTAACGTACCCTCTATTTCATAAGGATTTGGGGGGCATCCTCGATTCCAACTTCAACTATGATACGGACATCAAGTTCCTGCGTAGCCTTACCATGTGCCCCCGACTCGTACTTGTATGTGAGAAACAGAGCCACGTAATATTTTGATACCGGTTCCAATGAACTGTTTACTGCAACTGATTTCCGTCAGAGGAAACTGAATTGTACCTTCTTCTCCAGAGGGGATATTGGCGGGGGGGGGTGTTTATTCCTAATTTGGGGATTTTAGATCTGATTGGATCTAAGGGCAGGGCTTTGTGGTCGATCTCGACACTTGTGTCCATACCGGTATGATACATACTTGTATGATATTGGAGCTTATGGCTCTACCTTACCTTACCTTACATAAATTTAGTGTCGTGCCTGCAGTGTCACTTGGACTAACATACTGCGCTACGGCAGCTTGGTTGCATATTCGGTGCTCCGTCGAGCGTTAGTAATTTACCGAAATGATGTGCATTTGGCTTAGAGCTTGCCAAATGGGGATATTATTATTATTATTATTACTTTGTATAGAAAAACAATAAAAAAAGAAACCAAGTGCTGTATGATACTGTCATCATATCCTCTTTATTATTATAACTAACACCTGCACTGCCCAGGTCCCGTCCGATCAGCCCCTCACTTCCAGAGCTCTAGCACAATTTGTACCCTACACATATGGAGATTTTCCTGTGGGATGTATCGTGGTTTTTGTTTCGGTCTCTGAGCTATGGTGAACTCTCCTTTCCCTCTCTTCCTTTCTTCGCTACAGAGCACGGTACTAGTGCTATATAGTCCAGCAATTCCCGCAGAGTTCTCACAACCCCTCATTGCGCTGGACTATGATAGTGCAGTCCCGCGGGAACGATACTGCGCTTGTGCCCGCTAACAGCTGAATAGCTAGACAACCGTTTTCAGATATGCCGCTGCTGTCGGGACATTATGAGTTTCTGTCGCAACCCGTTTTTCCGAATGGCATGAAGAGAGGGCCGGAGAAACGTTTCCAGGGCAGTAGTACTTGAGAGGGTCCGGGAAAATTGCCAAAGTTTTGCAGAATTCCTTCCGGAATGTACTCTGCTTATATTACCCTCGCGTCGTATACCGTGTACTAGGTGCTGTACTCATGTTCCTGGAGCCTTGCACGAATCTATCCGGCCGATTATATTTGTTTCATTTTTTTTTTCTCTTCTCCTTTCTGCTACAATACAAAGTCCGGCAGCAAATCAAGCTATAGAACCATCGATAGAATGATTGCTCGCTGTGAGTACTTCAAGATGGGAAGTACTCGAGCACAGTAAACGATTCTCTTTCTATGGAAACGAGTGCTTAGGGGGGGTTATGTACCGGTACTGTATGACACCTTACATAATTTTGCGGAAGTATCTATGACTCCACATCCTCCACTTAGGTATCCTACTGGAGTAGAGCACCGCCAGCTCGCATTCTGATTACTTTGCGATGGATGGAAATCGTGGTGCACTTGTGGTTCTGCCGGGCGGATGTGTGATAACCCCTGTCATTCCAGGTTCTTGGATGGGCACCTTACCCATGCAGGTGCACTTATGCTCCGGTACTGAACGATCATATCATAACCGTGCCCACGGCGGAACTGGGCTGATCCCTGTTCGTCGCCGGGTCAGGTTCGGCGTGTACGAGTACGGTTAAGCCTGTAATTAGAGTGCTGTACGGTATTCGAGCAGACTTATCCACTCTCCATCCACGCTACCCAGAAAAACAACCCCATCTTGTCCGGTTACACCCAAACCTCGCTGCTCCGTGTGAAATGCCGTGGATCCAAAAATTCTCCACAGCAAAGACTCCACTCGATGCTGTAGCTGATCCGCTGCGCCGGACAGGTTCTTTGAATTTTGGCAGTCCGGGGTGGGCGGGGTATATGCGTATTGTACAAGTGTTATGGCATTCAGCAGGAAAGAAGTTATCCAAAACCAGGGACCATGAACCCTTTATGAGCCCTCAGATGTGCGAGTTTTTTTTGAAGCTTTTTAAGTTTTTTTTGCCATATATTGTGCAAATCCTCGTTTTTGGGCACCTTGTCCGCTACGAGTTACCGGTATCGTACGGGGGGGGGCACTTGGACCTCGGGAACCCGGGTGACTAAAGTTCCCCTACAAGTGCAGTGCCGTAGGGCGTTAGAATTACCCCTCCTTGCTGCAATAATATTATAAGTTTCTGCACTTTTCTCTCAATATGACGCGGAGGGGGGGGGGGCTCAGGGGTTAGTTTTCCGCAGTGCTTTCCTTACCCCGCCCCCGTCCAGAAGGGGGAATATTTGACGTCTTTGTGCTAGGTTCGATTGTTCGAGGTCGTATCTACTTCAGTTCTGATTGATACACGGTATGATATTGTTTTATCGCAGTGTGTTGGTGTGGCTCGTGGGTCTTGCTTCTTCCTCCTTTGTCGATATATAATAATGATAGGCTGCCCGGAATAAAGACGGGAACAGAATCGAACTGATGTTTAGAATCCTCCTTGGCCTGAGTTGTGGATGGATGGATATCTCTGAACGAAAAGGTGGGCCCTGGCCATTTTGGCCTCGTTTTTTCTTCCTGCGCTGCGGTGCTTAGACATATGGAAACAAATCGAACCATACACACCTACCTTCACAGCCCAGCCTCTATTCCCAACTATCATGCCGGTGCCGCAGAAGCTCTCGTCTTTAATTTGAATAATTCGGTATTGCTCTGACAATCAGATTATATATTATATATATAGAACTTTCTTTCTTCCGGGCTTTCCCGGATCGGATTGCCTAACCAGATATCGAATTGTGCTCTAAAGAGTATAATAATATGATTGATGGGTAAGAATTTCTCTACAGAACTGTACCGTCTGATATAGTTACCAGTGCAGTACTGTACCCAGCGACCATGACCAAACCCACTTGCACAGTATAGAAAATGAGAGAGAGAGAGAGAGAGAAAGAAGGGGAGACCAGTGCGACACAATTTCAACCCAATCCGTTCTCACCCGCGTCCGATCCAATGCAATCCAATCTAGTATCATACCGGCACGGATAAAATCACCATCAATTCATTGGAGAAGCTCCAAGTTAGCAGCACTGCACAGTACAAGTACCAGTACAGTATGACACAACCAAAACCTGGCGCTGCGCATGGTAAAACCGCACAAGCACCGCTGTATGTACGAGTACAGCATGCACAGTACCGCTTTGGATATTGCCTGTAAAATTCATGAACCCTCCGCCGGCACCGGTGGTGTTACCGGTATCGGCTTTTTAGGTGCTGCCATCTTCACATGAGTCTTAGCGGTTTGATACCGTATAATGCCGACCACTCACCCATAATATCTGCTACTACGATATAACACCAACCCTGCACTATCATGGTAACGGGGGTTTGCGCCACCCATGCTCGACTGGGTTTGCGAGGCCGTTGTATGGTGGCTGTGTTGTGAGGGGAATCAATCTTGGTTTTGTGCTGCTCGTGATAACACGGCGACTATTCTTCCTCCGCTGTCTTCCTAATATCATACCTCCTGGACTCCCCTCTACCCTATCCAGCATCACGAACCGCGTAAAGAATGGTTTGTTTCAACAGGGGTGAGAAACAAAACAACTGCACCAGTATATATACTCTGTGCGCCATCTACCTCCTTGCTAACGGGTTCACTGTCCATGGTGTTATGCTGTACCGTGTTTCCCAAAAAAAACCAAAAACGCCTTAACCGAAACACATGCACTGCACTCCCCGTGTATTATATCATACAGACAGCTTCGGACCGCCCTATAATAACATCACATCTGTAGCACTCTAAAAGTTAACCCAAGCAATCCTGCAGACGATCCTATCCCGAGCTTGCGACTTCGCCTTGATTCACCTCGTTTCCGCTTCCGCACCGCTGTAAGCACCCCCGAAAATGTTTGTACTAAAAAGAATATCACTCCCATTAAAACGCTCCCAAATACTTCATATTTTGGCCTTCATTTCTCTGCCCCTCTTTCTTTCCTTACCCTCTTCCTCACTTCCCTCCCATTCATCCAACCTTCCGCCCACCCAATTACAGATAAGAGAGAATAAATGAAGAAATAAGCCAATATCGCGAGGGTATATGCTCCCATTCAATCGACAAAACACGCGTGTAAAAGGAAACTGGGTATGATGCGCGTAAAAAGGAAAGAGAGTGGGATCAAAGGAAAATATAAACTCCTAATCAATCTAGCTAGCCATCTTCCACAATACTTGTACAATAACACGTTGGGTTAGAGCAACACTGACAAGGTTGGGAGTAACGAGGGTATGAGAAACAGCAGGTTTTACAAAAAATGGTCGTTAAGCTGGCGGAAAAGGAAACGAACAAAAAAAACGAAATCTACGTGTCTTGGTACTCTCCCTCATATCCCTGATGGTGGCTCCAAGAGCCAGCAGGTTGAGGAGCCCAACCAGATTGCGGGAGTCGTTGACGACGATCTATATTCTTGTTAGCATCACATCTTATGTTAATTTTTATATTTTTGGGGGGGGAACAAACCTCTCTCGAAATCTGCCCATCGCTTCATAACAATCTTACTCGAGTCAAACTCTCCTTCATACTCGATACCAGCCTTCTTTGTCGTCTCGCCCGCGACCTTCCGAGTATCGCCCCAAGAGAAGTCATCAAATTTCCAGAAGGCGTATGACGGCAGGATCAAATTCCACACGGGCAATGAAATGAGGTAAATGAGCATCCAAAAGACATACGACCAACGGTGGGCAGTGAGGACAATCAAGACGGCAGGCAGACCAAGGATGAGCGCGAGGAGGACAAGAGGGATGACGGGTACCGGCTTCTTGACGAATGAAATGATAATCAAGTAGAACGTGAAGGTGATAGCAGCGGGGAGGACAAGCGTTCCAATTAGTTCGATGAAGACGACAAATTGCATAGAGAAGCAGAATGTTCCACAAAGATCCCGCACGAGAACCAGTTCCATGAGGTTGTGCACAGTCGAGTTGATCCATCTGCGTCTCTGTGAGAGAAGAACCTTGAATTCGTCGGGTACAATGGTTTTGCAAACTGCCTGAGGAACGAAAACCTGCTTACGCTTGGGGAAGGTCTTCAACATCAGGGTCGACAAATAACGGTCCTCTCCGAGAAGCAGGAGGTTCTTCTTGTGCAGGGTGTCAACAACATTCTCAGAGTAGTGCTCGACGACATCAGGATTGGCGAGGATAGGGACCCAGTAGTTCTGACCGCCCTTCGGAGTCTTTATACGATACATACAGAAACATCCGGGAAGACAGGTGACACCGCCAAAGACGGACTCGAAAGCCTTAGTCAGATGATGAGAGATAAAGTACTCAAAGACCTGAATCATAGAAACCCAACTTCCAGTCTTGTTGGCAATCTTGGTCTCTCCACAAAGTCCCATAATATCAGGGTCGTTGACCATGGCAGCGATCATGTGAGTGAGCGAATCCGGGAAGACTTTAGTATCAGCGTCAACCATGAGTACAATCTCGTAATAGTCAGGCGATATTCCAGTAATTTTCCAAATGCCATTAAACATCTCGAATTCTAACTCAGTCATGCGCTCGTCGAACATAACCTTTTGAAGGAAGGACATGAGAATGATCTGAGAGTCACGTTTACCACGATTTCCAGCCTTTCCACCGCCCTCTTCATCCGGGGTCCCGCATTTGACGACGACGAGCATAGGTACTCTTTGCTGCTTCTCAGGAGGGATTTGAGAATCCATTCCGTAGTCATAGAAACCGGCATAGACCTTAGCCATATTGTGGCGCTTGGCGCCAGATGCAACAGCAACGTATGAGAATCCTTGAACGGCATCAGGGTGAACAGCGTGATCCTTCATCATGGACAAGATAATCTCCGGAGTAGTCTTAGTTTCGCCATGTCCCTTGATCATACCATCGCAAACAATCAGCATGAGCTTGTGACTATTGGGGTAATCCGTAGTCGCGATTGAGTCCAATGTAGTCCTGACACCTTGCTCGCCCTCGGAGTAACAAGTGATAAGACACAAGGCATGGGCCAGCGGAAATCCGAACGGCTGATATTCAGGTGGTGGCTGAGGTACAACAGCTTCATGAATGAATCCAGCGGGTCCAGGTCCGTCAACTTCAGAGTAAACACTGAATCGTTCACCGGGCTGACCACCATGGCCAGGGCTCAAAAGGCTCGATCCGGGCATCGACTCGGTCATCATTCCACTCAAACTTCCTTTGGATCCGTTTTGGCCAACCTGTTGATACATGGCTTGTCCAGGCTGTAGTAGCCTCGCAGTAGAACTCTGGGAGCCCATAGTGGTAGGGAAAGGCCTATGACGACTTTGAGGTCTTTCTTGAGCATAAGGACTAGTGAATCTACTAGTCGTTGGCAGGAAACTTCCTCTCTTAGAACGATCCCCGGCGGGGGTATTTGCATCCTTTAGCTTTGGGGGTGGGCGGTAGATATCATCCGACCAATCTTCGATCTCATTCATTCGTTTCTTCATATCCTTCCTAATATCGCTAGCCCTAGCGGCTCCCAACCTCCAGCTCAAAAACCATCCAAAGAACAAGGCGAGCAAGAACTTGATGAGGACAATGCTGACGATGAAGACCAAAGACACGAAGAGAACAACTTTGGAGGCGATACAACCGACAGTTTCGGTATCAATACTCCCGACACGAATAATTTCCGATAAACATTTCGCGAGCTTCTTCTCAGCAGCACCTTGGAAGAGATGGGTGACATCAGTTCCACGGAGCTTGGGATCTTGGAGGAACTCATCGAACTGGGACGGATACACAACTTGACGTTTATCGAGCCATTTGAGAAGGTTAAGATCCAACACACTGCTCGAATAGACCAGAAGGTTTCTAGAGCTATTCTTGATGTCGCCCCATGTGAAATAAACATCGGTGGTGACCTCGAGATCGTAATATTCTTGTCTCGCTTTACCACCAGTATGGCAGGCATATCCGAGATATTTCTGATCGGTCATGTTCAAGTTTGGTTTTGTAGACCCATCCCGATTGAAAACTTTGCAGGGAAAATACCAAGCCATTCCGCCACTGGAATCGGTGGGTATCACCGATTTTTCAGTAGGAGTGATTAGTCCCTTGCACTGGCCATTGACATTCTGGAACAAGAATGATGCGTCCTTCCCACCGTTCTTCTCAGGAAGATCGTACAGAACGTTTCTACCGGCGGGGAAATCAACAGTAGCCGGATGTGTCGATTTTTCGAGATTGTAGGCCCGTCCGTGAATGATCAGGTATCCACCGCCGACCTGGTTGACCTTTAAGCGCTGGACAGGAGATCCGCAAACCGCTTGTGTAAAACCGAAGGTAAGGAAACCGACGAAGGCGCAAATGAGAATGATGATACTGATGAGACCCATTTTCTCTCTCCACGCTCGTTGTTGTGCCTTGGCGGGCTTACCGAAGCACTTCAAAAGTGCACCTGGACACCAAAAGGTAACAATAGCACAGTAAACGTTCCACAACGAAGGCGGGCGAACAGCATCATCCTGTCTCTTCTGTTTCTCCTTCTCGTTCAATGAATGCCTCTTCGAATGGGCCCTGACCAATTTGCTGGGGGTGTGCCTTTTGGGCACCGTTTCCATCCCGTCTTCCGAGTACCTGGGAATTGACTGAGTTGGTCGAGTCAAACTCTTGAGATCGGTTGAGTCAGTTGAGGCATGCGATGCGGCCTCCGTACGGTCTTCGACTATGGGATCGTTACCCGTTGTCGAAGGAAGCACATTCATATTCTGTCGTTGCGCATGTTGTCGGTAGTAGTAATTTGGATGGTCCCTATCAATTCTATTCCGCTCCGGTCTGATCAGGCTCCTTTTTCGTCCGAATTCGGGCGTGCCAGAAGCGTATGGGTCCGGAGACCCCGGGATCCCACCAGCCTGAGGTCCACCGCCCGTTGGTAGCGTAGGTCTTCTCGTCGGAGGACTGCTGTACTGTGGCTCATCGACATAATATCCGGGTCCAGTTTCCACATCGTTCAGCCGATGATGCCGCCCGGAGCCCCTATGCCCGGGCGATGTTGGCTGGGGTCGCTGAGGCAGCGACATGATGAGGCGTTGAAGAGGATCTAACCGAGCGGTAGAAGATTAGTACTCGTACGGTCGTTAAACCCCTCCGCTAGTAACTGTTAATTAAGAATGGAGTTTAGTTGGCTGGCTGGGGAGGCAACTCACAACAAGACTCGAGACGCAGGGAAGTCCTCCAATCCCAGGTCCCTCAATCGGTTGCAAGGCACAAACAAGTGAATGGACTCCGGTAACCCGTTGACACCGTCAAAGATTGTATTGTACAGTGCTCGTCACCAGTAACGACCGCTTCCACCCCCCTACGCCCCCTTGACCGCCGAGGTCCAAACAAACGAACAAACAAATCTACACACACACACACACCAGCAAACGACCGCTACAACCCTGCGTTGTCGGGAGCGAAAGAAGATAGCGAGGAGTGGTGGCGATGGCGGAGAGGGAAGAAAATGCGTTACGACACAACGATGGAAAGCCCCTACAGCTGCAACTGAGGAGAAAACAGGTACCGGTGAGCGGAGGGAGTAAGGAAGGGGAAAATACCAAATGGCGATGGGTAAATTAGGGGAAGGTTTCGGGGCGGAAGAGGGGGGATGTACTAGTACAGTACCGTAGGTGAGGGAGTACGGGCCGGCAACGGGGGGGGGGCAAGAGGTGAATACGACAGGCAATCAATCAACCAATCAATCAATCAATCAAGCAAACAAACACAGGGCAATAAAGAACCAAACAAGAAAGATAACGAGTGAGAGTGGGTGAGATGGATAGCGAACGGCAGCGAATAGGAAGGAAAGGGACCCCTGAGGAGGGAGGGAGGGAGGAGGTTGAGGAAAAAGGAAGAGGAGGGGAAATATCGGTACAAGCGGAGGAACAAGGGAGAGAAAACCTTGATTTGGCCCTGTCCACCACCCTTCTCCACCGGTATAGGAAAACCCTTGCCCGCACACACTCCACTCCAGTTAAAGGGGTTGAGCAAAAGTAATCACTATTATTAGAAAAGACATGTGTTGCCACGGGAACGAGATGGCACAAACTCTATTTACTTACCCAAAAGGGCACTGCCAAGACTTTCGCCTTGCTGTCGCCAATTACCAAAGGGGAATTCCCTACCAGTACCGTAGGGAGTGAGGGAGCCGGTGAATATGACGGAGAAAAATAGTGCCGCCACCGGTACCGTACGGCAGGCTGGTTCTGCTTGGCTTTAGTTAGTGCTTGGGCCGAGAGGGGTGAATCTCAGCCTCAAACACCCTGCGAAACCCGGTTGATCTTAGGATACCGGTATGCCGCACCCGTATTGGCTGGATCGGAATGATGCAGGCGCATTCCGCTCATGTACTGTACCGGTATTCCCGTCTCCATCATCTGGTATGATATCAGCAAAATATCTACAGGTACCCCGGAACCGTCGCAGGGTGCCGCGTGTGAATTGCGAAGAATGGGTGCATGGTTTGTTAAATTCCCTGCGCTGATCATGCTGTTCGCTAAGCTGCTTGCTATCCGCAATAATTCGATATTGCGAGTGATGGTGCGTGAGATATTTTGATTCTCATCGGGGGTTGGGATGATGATGGGACTTTGTGCTATTGATCATCTATAAACACTTTCAAACTGTCCATTCGCATTACACCAGCTCTTGAACTACCTGTCATTTTACCTTCTCGGGCACTGGGCCGCCGGTGGTCGGTAACCCAACAAACAGCTTGAAACTGTCGTACAATAGCCATTGTAGGCCAGTCAGAGTGCCGATCATAACGATTCTGACCGGCAAGCCGTTCCAGAGCCCTGCGAATCCGATCTCTCCATAGATTCTCTTCATAACAGCACCGAAAGCCTCGCCGGACTGGCGATTTGCGTTGAGTTTTGAGACCATTACGTCAGCGGGATGGGAGACCTTTGTGGGGTTAGTGTATGGCTAAAGTATATGACTAATGGAGTAGAGGAGGGATGGGAGGTGATCACAATTGCGCAGAGGATACCAGCGATGTAACCTCCCGCAAACGACACCGTCGTCTGAACTCCCTTTCCGTACTGATCTTTATTCTTGGGAAGGTAATTATAAATCATTTCCACCACAGTCTCGAAGGACGCGAACTTCATCATGGTATCTATTGTACGGTCAGCATCCGGACCTACCCCCGCCCCCGGGATGAAAAGAATCTCACAAGGAATCTGCCTCCCCCACAGGGGGTACAGCCCCTTATACAGCCCCCCGAAGCCCTCCTTCGCAACGACACTCCTCAGTCCCTCGGTGGTGCCCTTAAACTCCGGCGGAATCGTGGTCTGCATTCGAACCTTGACGGACTCGAGCGGGCACAGCGCGATATCGGCAATGAACTCGGCACTCGCCGATCCTGCTAGATATATAGCCGTTTTATACTTCGCCGCCTGCTCCGGTCCCGCAAGGTCCGAGTAGAATTTCTTGAAGAATTCGTAACCACCGTACTTCAGGCCTCCCTGAGCGCAGTAGCCAAAAAAGGTGGGTGACCAACCCGTGAAAATGCCGCGGATGCCCTCAGCACTCGAGATTGTGCGCCAGGCTTGGATGTTTGAGCGGTAGAGCTTCGAGTCTACCTGTCGGCGGCATTTCACCAGGTCGAGGGGGGTGACAGCGGTGTGTGTCAGGCCCTGGGGTATCTTAGCTCTGCTTGCGGTGCTGGTTGATGGAAGGAGGGGGGGGCGGGGAGGTATACGCAAGCTAGGATTCCACCTATGGTGCAGGCAGCATAGAACTTTGGGGAATACATGTCTATCTTCCCCACCTCTCTTTGTGCTACTTCCGAAGCATGTCGGAGCTCTGCCTGGGTTTCCTTCCCTAGCTTCTTAGCTTCGTCTGTGGTGGATGCGTATGGGTATAACGATACAACCGAGGGCTGAGCCGGCGGTGCCTTTTTCTGGGGAACCGCGGCGGAGAATGGTGTCGACGGGAACACCGCTGAGAGAGTGGCGTATGCAGGCGTAGCTGGAGCGGGCATGTTTGGAATGGCTGAACGAAGCACCCTTGATAATTGATGGATTGGGTAGAAGAGAATGGGGAACGGGGAAAAAAATTGGGGTCAACAGGCGATTAAGTGCTCGAGTGCCGGTGCAGCCTTGCACATTAAGTATCCGGAAATAGTACGTATCAGTCGGAAGAGAAACGATATTTGTCGCGGCGTGACGTCACTGCTCATGTATCATCGGAACTCTAGATGCTCGTTTCTCACTGCTCGGAGCGCAGCTATCACTTCCTGGCCTGCTTCTCGTCTTTTGAACTCCGGGAAATCTTGCACCCGGTGCCGGAGATTACTTAATTCCGAGATGCCGGATGCTTCGCACCCGACACTCACGGTAGCTTTGAGACCGGTCGGGGTTCTCGCACTCGGGCGCACCTGCTATTGTTGCTGCTGGGGGGGTTGTATCCTGTCTACGCCCATGAAGCTTGCTCGAGTGATGGCAGACTACTCGGGGGTTATTGGAAATTGGAAAGTGCTTGGCTTTTGGGCGGTGGTGAAGGGATTATTCTTTGGTCTGACGATCATCTTGCCCTGGAAGAGTATGGGTGCAACAGGACAGAAGTCAAAAACCCGGGCCAGTTGCTTTGAAGTTACACTAGATTGGACAGGCAGTGGTGATTGGGGGCTTTCTGCAGAGGAACTTTCTTATCACAATGGGTCCATATGAAGTTGGGCTGTTCCCCGTTCTAATCCCCATCTTCCGTCGGCTGTTGTGGTGCTGTTCTTGGGGTGCAGGATATCATATCTGGTATCTACTTCTAGCTGCTATTGTCCCCAACGGGCCTCCGGCTTCCGGGGCTGGCTCGGCTCGCTGTGATGTTGGGCCCTAACGACTAGAACTGGGGTCATGTTGATTTCCGATTTTTGACAGCCCCCCCGAGTGCTCCACGTACCGGTACCCCCCTCAGTATTTCTCGTTTAGGATGGGATCTAGTTCTGGGGGCAAAGAGTTTGCACGGGTGGGATTATTGAAGAAAATGTGTCGGTGGGATATCTAGCGGTGGTCCCTGAAATAGAGGTAGCGTGAGAGTATGGATCAATGGCCTCATTAATTTCGAGTGATTCATGCTGTACAGGCACCGGAGATCCTGAATCTATTCTGGTATGATCTCAGAGTCCGGACGACATTGAGACGTTCGCAGAAGGGATCTGTGCAAACACCCTCGGCGTACCCTGGTTGGGGTATGGTTCCCATCGAGCTCCCATAAGGCCAAGGGTCACTTTCGGCCCCTGTGTTTGGGTATGGTATTATGATACCTGTAGCTTCGGATCTGCCACTGCTGTTGGTAGTAGCATATCATACACGTGTCATATTCCATCATTTCCGGTTGAGCAAATACCTGTTAAGACCGAACCCTGAGGTCCATAGTTTTCGCATCGTTATCATAAACATAGTTCATTGGGGCACCAAACCTGAAGAATGTATGATTGTCTTCGGAGCTGGACCCCTGCCGCAGCAACGGCAGAGTTATGACACGAACAATACTGTGTGCGCTTGCCAACACACATACAAGGGCGCCTCAAGAAGAGGTATGAAGAGGGAAAAGGACGTGAGAAGTAGGGGTGAAAAAAAGGAATAAAGACAAATTTTATTTTAGCAAGCAAGCAAAGCAGCCGGCTAACTGTGACCCGGAAAAGCCCAGCAAAAGGCGATATCCTGGGTCACATCCCAAACCTATAGGAATAAGACTAGGCAGGCCTCCTCTTTGTAAACTCCTCCAAATCGCCCCTGGTTGCGACGCCTAGAACGAACCTCCTCCCTTCATCCGTAATAACGGCAAACTCCTCCTTCTTCAGGAACTCCTCGAGCTCCTCCAGCGCGGTATTTGGCGTAATAACCTTATACACGTTTCCCTTCTTGCGATCGAACCTGTTCATGACCTTGCTGACGGGATCTGAGAGTCTAATATTGTTTCCGGAGGATGATTGTAACAGCGATTCGATTTTTGGGACAGGGAGGTAGCCGAGGAGAGCGCGGGTGGTGGAAGATGTCACGGTGAGTTGTGAGTAATCGCGGTCGTGGGCCATTGCCAATGCCGTTGAGATGGGGGTTGAGGGGGAGATGCTCAGAGCCGGAGGGAGGTCCAGGTCTTCCACTGTTGCCTGGGGTGGTTGTTAGCTCAGACTTCTACGGGGGGAGGATGGTGAGGCAGGGATGCTTACACCTCTGTATTTGGCTGCGGGGGAAGAGGCCATGATGGCTGGTTTTTGCGAGTTGGTTAGGGTTGAAGCAGTGTGTGGGAGAGGTGGACTGTTTGGTGGGATTGAGATTGGTATGCGGATGGAGGGGCAGAGTTCTGGAGACTTGGCATTCGCCGCCATGTTCCTGATGAGTAAGCTGGATCTGAGTTTACGGGAGGTGAAGAGTGCGCGTTTTCGGTAAGAGCTTCAACGGCAGATGGTGCTGATGAAAAGAGAGAAGGTGTTTGGCGATTTGGATGCCAAAGAGAGATGTGGGAGGTTGTTTCTGTCGAAAGTTCGGTGAGTGGGGTAATTTTGCTTTTCCCGAGGTGCGCCTTCATGAACCTTTGGTTTCTAGCCCGTGGAAATTTAGCTATGGGACCAGGGTGCGGGTGTATTGTGGACTAAAATGGTTTACCCCTTTGGATTCAAAAGCTACCGGTGTGGAAGTGTCTCGGTTGACTTCAGGGATTTGGGTGGTGTGTCTGAGTGAGCTGGCACCTGGGGAAAAGATGGGTCTTGACTGTGTGATATGCCATAGGATAAGCTGTGGGGAAATTGACAAGAAACGGTGACAATGTAACATGGTGGCGAATTTGGAAGCATCGTAAGAGAGGAGAAACTGAATCCAATTTGGATGAAAAGGGAACATCATTTAAGTTCTAGTAGGTATGAGGTGCTTGTCCTCCCTCTATGGTGGTGGTGGTTGGGTGTGGATGTGTCTCTTTCCTCTGCAGGAGAGATCAGGAAGGGAAAGTGACTATCTAGTTATATACAAGTACAAGTGCCCCCTCGAAAATAAGCCAACAGTTAATTTAGGTTAACCCGCGAAATAATCCCTGTCTTGTGTGAAAAAATCACCCTGACACTTGTACTCGTACTAGTACTCGTAGAGAAAATACTGAGTGCCAAGACACCCGAGAATGCAATCCTAACCCTGAAAAAACCTGAAAATACCCTTCCGCGCTGATAGAGAGTATGGAAATGGGCTAGGTATGATGATATGGTAGTGGACGCTGTTTAAGGGGTCGTGACAGGAGAAACTTAAAAACTCCATCCCATCTGATATCAAGACTCAGCTTTGAATATCTATTGCCTCTTGCCATCACCCACCATGCGGCTGCGGGACGCCCAAACCTGATATTACTCGAAGACGGCGAGTGGGAGAACAGGCTGACATTAGGGCACTCTTGTTATCGGCGCACTGGCCATGGTGCTCTGCCTATAATTATTTACAGCCTATGGGATTTTCCCTTGACAGGTGCTGGATTACCATGCAGGGCTAAGAGCACAGATGTGGGGAATTCAAGTCGGCCGAAACTCGCTGTCATGAAATGTTTGGCAGTTGTTTTCGTGGAGCTTCATGGCCTGAGGGGATTTCTTATACCTCTCATAAGGCTGGCAATACTGTAGACCGTGTGAGCCCTCAGCGAGGCGCGGCGTTGTCTACCACCTAAAATACCGCTATTTGCCACAATAGGGCGACCTTGGACCCTTGCGCCTCGTTGAGGGTGCCGCCTCGCTGAGGGCTCACACGGTCTATTGTGCATTAGGTTTTGGAAAGTAGGGATGGTACGGCTTGAGCCTCTTGACCCAAGTGCGTACCGTAAAAACTCAAATAATAATATGATATCATAGAACCGTGTGCTGTGATATGTAGTCGAGAATTACCCACTTGAGAAAGGGGGGGAAAAAACAGCAGAAGCGGAGCTGCTCAGCCCCCCTTACGTAGACGCATATAAAAACAAAAACAATAGACCTTACCAGAGGAGGCAACTCCAACGACCTAGCACACAGTTCGATTATTTGAGTTTTCACGGTACTAAATCCTCCCCCGAGGCTATTATCCTCTGAGGTGCTTTTCCCGGTTTTTCCTTTCCAAGAGCTATCCAGGGCGTCATATGTAGGCTTTCCTTGTGCCTGAATGGCGCCTCATATATTGCGCCCTACCGTAATCTATGATGTGAAAGCTCTTAGGCCGGTATTTTTAAAGGGGTGTTATAGGTGCATATCTAGGCTCCATGGGAAAGGAAAACAGGGTGAGGTGTATCACAGATCGTGGAGAGGGAAGCCAGGTATGATAGCATATCATAGCTATCGTGGGGATATGAGGGGGGGTGAAAGACATGGAGTTAGGATGTGCGGGACGGCCCATAGATTGTAATGACGCCTTCCCCCAATATTAGCCCATTTTACTCCACAACCCTCACACCCGTGGCCTGGTTTGGCAGCAGGAGTGCCTGAAGCTTGCCCTAGGCTCCAACGACTCTTGACTTTGGGGCTTTTTTGCCCCTGACCCCGACTCCGAGTGTAGTACACTTTCTCTCCTTTTCAACATATCATACCGGTATGATATTACGGGTTCTCGGATTGCTAGTTGGGGATTTCCATGATACTGGCATGATAGTAATCATTTTGTCTTCTGCTCTCCTACCTTTGATGACAGGGGTACAGGTATTGGACTTTCCAGTTTTATGGACACACCCGGGTACCGGTACCGTGTCAATTATTAGAGTTCCTACAGCAAGCGGGCCGTGTCACTCGTTGTCACCATCCACTACGGGTACCGGCACTCGGGTACGGTGTGGGGTAGATACCGTACATGTATGGCATAATACTTGTTCGAGTCCGGATCTCGAGTACGAGTACTTGCGCTTGTGTGATGCGACCGCCTTCTCTACCGCCCACCGGTACTACTCGTCAGTTTTTTAGCCCTCCATCCCCCGGCTGCTAAGGCGAGGCCGGCTTGCCGCTCCTCATGGGAAGCAGCACACGTCAGATTTTTTTATTTTTTTTAAGTGGCATTTGAATAGAAATGTCTCGGGGAAACAATTAGTACAGCCGCTGGCCAACGCTTTGGGTTTTGGGGGGCCTGGTGGGGTGATACTGATTTTGGGTTGTCTAAAGGTTTGTGGTGTTGACCGGCAGTTTGTGGAAGTCTGTGCTTTGTGCGAGTACGGTACAAGGGCCGGGCATGAAGTGGTTGTACTACTACTACCCGTAAAAACTCTTACCATTGGCTATCTCCGTTCAGCTCGCTAATCTCCTGACCCAGGGCATAAGGTTCGGGGGAAGGATAAGCGCTTTTCTGACACGGCAGGGCCCGAGTCCTTTGGCTGTGTTGGATGGCATTACTAGTAACTGGTTTTCGCAAGCTTCTTAATTTCCAACAGCTAAACCTACCGGTATTGTCGCTTGATACCCCAATTTACAGGGGCTTACGGAGATAGTGTATCGTGAGATGATACCCGTATGATACTACAAGTATGATAACCGGAATTTCGGTAGCAGTGGTAGACCCGTGAAACATGCCCCTCAGTTTATCTCTACCCTCTTCCCTCTTGTCTCGGTCAACCTTCGGCAGATTCACCGGTAATGGGTGGGTCGGGTGCCAGACCAATTGCACATCTACCAGAACGGGAAAAATAACCCTCTCTGGGTTCTCATCGAGCGATGGAAGATCAGGGTTTTTGAGTGAGCTGGCTGCTGCGGTGTACTGTACTCGTACGAAGCTAGAGATAGGATTCACCCGTAGCCCAAGCGTACCACACCAAAAGTAGCCGACTTCGAGTACCATGGTTGACTTTCCCAGATTGTCCAATGAATGCAAAAAAATACCAGCACAAGCTTCAGAACTATGCCGACTTTTCATACACAAATGATTAGGGCTAGCAAGAATAAACTAATGTCTTGGCAACTAAAATTATTCAATTGAGGTTGGAAAAGGGTGGCAAAACCATAGTTTCCCGTAGAAAGCGCCAAGACCCTATGTCACTTTTGCTCTTTGATCAATAGAAATCCCCCAAAAGAGAGATGTTTCTTTGTGACAGGCTGGAAGAGAGAATCAAAGGGATTCTCTTGGACATGCAGTGGATGTTGGGTTTTATTGATCGAACAGTGGTGGTGTCATGATAGTGTGAACATGGCTGCTTGCATGTAAAACGCACTTCAACAGGTGATTTCGGTGTCCCCAGCCTGGTACATGTACCACTAATTTTTTTTTGCAAAAAGCAAGATACACCCCCTGCTCTGTACCACATTTTATGCCTGACCCTCATGACGCATTAAGGTTGGCGCGGGATGATCGGTTTGGGTTCAACGCATTTGGGCTGCGTGACACCGCGGCTACTGGCGCTCCCGCTGAGTCGTCGTCTAGGATTCCCTCCCTCGGCTAGCGAGGCGGGAGCACTTCGGGAGCTGATCCCGCACCCCTACCGGTAGCTTAAAGTTAAGACAATAAAGTGGGCTATACCTGTAAAGGTAACTCCAACGTCCTAACACCAGTACTCGAGTACCGATATTTACTCGAGTTCTTACGGCACTGCACTGTAACTAGTGCTGCGGCTTTCCGCATTATCGAGGAAGGAGGGAGATCTTGATTTTTCCCTCGTCCTTTGGTCCTTTCGTCCGATGAGAAGAAAAGTCTACGCTTCGGGCAAAGTTGCCCGTGGATGGATAAGGCTCTGGGTAGTCGGAGCGCACACATCTCGCTAGGAAAACTAATGCGGTCCCGACGATCCCTGCCCGATCTACTGTAGATATGGCGCCACTGTCATTGAGCTGGGGCAAGTCTTACCCGATCAAGTACTTTCTTCCCACTTTTCCCCTCGCTCCTCAAGTGCTTCTAGAGTCGCGGTACAGTACAACCAAGCACAATAAGCCGGAAATATTCGAGCCCCAATTTTCTCAGATCCGCCTAGGCGATTGGCCATGCTTAATTTTTTGCGCCCTATGCTGGGGCTCATTATGCCTTGCGCTGCGCGTGAGTACCCATTTGTAGCACAGCGTCACAACACCCAATGTTGGCGCTGGGAGCCGTGGGACAGGAGGATATTAGGATTCATACCCGCTGCGCTTTAGGGGATTTTCGGGGATGGTGAAGTAAGTGCAGGATCGTATCATATTGCCGGCGGTTAGTGCTTTCGGTGCGGGAGTGGGCTTGGGGGTTGCTGCTGCGCGTTGGTGTTGGTTGCAAAAACTTTTCAGCGTTGTTCTCGGAGGTTCTGTCGTTGGGGTTCTGGTTTCAAATGTGGGCTACCAAATGGCGTACGAGAAAGCTCGAGTGATTGAAGCTATGGAGCCAGCCCGAAGGGGGTGCTAGCCCCGTCTCCAGTAGACTCGTCGCACAAGGGAAGTCCCGGTATTCCCCACCATCATCACAGATTATCACTCGTGCGCCTTAGCCGCTGTTGGGGCCCTTTGGGGATGATAGGAGCAGAGTGAGCCGGAAAAGAAGGCTTTCTGTCTCCTTTTTTTCTTTTTCTTTTTTAGTCATAACATTGGGACTCATCTGATCCTGTGATGGCTTGTCCCCTTGAGGGGATTTTAGATTCAAAAAAGAAAAAAAAAACGACGAGAAGCCTTGGGATGCGGGTAGGTGATCCTGTGATCTGCATGCTCAATATTGCTGCTTATCCTAAGGGTTGACTAGTCAGCGGAGTCAATCGCTGTATGGGGTGCTAATTTATCTTTAGCAAGAAAGTCTACGGCGTAGGCACGCACACCGCGGGGGAAGAGATGGCCGGTTACGAGGCACTGTTTAGCATGATGTTAGAGTTGGTTTCTGAGGCTGGCTGTTATTCTCTGTTCTCGGGGCTGATTGATTTTTGCCTGGAATCTCGATTTGGCTGCGTTTTGACCCCGTCTCGATATCAAACCTCGGAATGCTGACCGCGTCGCCCGTTGTGGAGGTCCGGAGGAGCCAGTCCTGGAGATAGGCGCTGATAATTTTTGAGGCTGATGACTCTGGATGTTGTGAATGAATTATG